CCCCAAGTCCGGTGGCGCAGGCCACGGTCAGGTGGACGAAGACTCCCCGGCCACCAGTAGAGGCAGTATGCCCTACTGAAGCGCGCTAAGCCTTCGTGATGGGTGTGCAGGTTGTGCGCACCACGGGACTTAGCCCAGAGAGACGTGGTTTTCTCAAACCGGTGAAGGGCAGTGATGGGCTGCTGGTAGTACACTCGGTGTACGGGGGTACGGTACCCCTTGAACGTTTGATGAGTTCTGGGGCGTTGATATGCCGCCGGAACGTCGCTTGGCATAGCGACATCCGACTGCACTCTATGTCAGAGAGGCGGTCGTGGGCTGGCCCTTGGTGGACTAGCCTTTGGTACGGTGAAGGAAGTGCCAATGGTCCTCAACGGACCTGAACGTTTCGGCTCGATGAGCTCGCGCACCGCGGTGTCGCTCGCAGTTCTCGCCATGAACAACATGGCTGTGCCGAACATAAGGAACAGCCCGGACTTTGGTGTGGAAAGGCTGAGAAGGGCCTACCAGTCCAGGTCTATGACGGAGCATTGGTGAGTCATGATCCCACCTCCGTCATGACTGGGGCGTCTGATACAGACCGCCAGGACGCAGAAGCGTCGCGGAGTTGTCAACGCGCCGACAGCTCTGCGTACAGCAAGACCATGCTCCGCTGCGGCAATGCCACGGGCGTGGGTCTTTGCCCGGCGTGTGGACCTGGTACACCAGCAGCGTCCAACGCCGAAGGTCGTCGCGCCGTACGGGCCTCGACAGTGGTTATGCCTTTAAGCGCTTACCCCGGTGGGTAACTCAGGACCACACGGTCGCCCAGACCTTTAACTGGAGAGGAAGGCGCTGAATGCGCTTCCTGTGTGGATAACACAGTACCACACGCAGTCGCCCAGACTATAGCTGAAGAGGAAGGCATGACCATGCTTCCTGTGTGGGTAACACAGTACCACACGCAGTCGCCCAGACTATAGCTGAAGAGGAAGGCATGACCATGCTTCCTGTGTGGGTAACATAGTACCACACGCAGTCGCCCAGACTATAGCTGAAGAGGAAGGCATTGTCCATGCTTCCTGTGTGGGTAACACAGTGCCACACGAGGTCTCGAGTGCCTCTGATGTCGTCAACGAGACATCACGACGTGGGTAACGAAGTGCCACGTCACGTCAGCCGCCGCAAGTCGGGTCTGAACCTTGTTCAGGCAGACGTCGCTTCAAACGACTCGGAGTCCAGGGCCCGGACTCCTCTGACTCGGTCGGTGGACACCAACTCTGTCCGGTGTGTGGGCGGGTCTGCCACACCAGCCGATCCCAACACCGAAGGTCGTCGCGCCGTATGCGCTTCGACAGTGGTGGTGCCGAAGGGCATTCACCAGGTGGGTAACATAGGTCCACACTGCGGGTAACAAGCTCCGCAAGCAGCGAAGCTGCTTAAGGGGACCGACATTCGGTGCTCCGAGCGTGGGTAACAAAGTTCCACGCAAGGTCACTCAGACCATAACTGATAAGGAAGTCGCTGTATGCGCTTCCGGTGTGGGTAACAGAGTTCCACACAACCAAGGTGGGTAACAGAGTTCCACACCCAAGGCGAGTAGCATAGCGCCGCACACAGAGCCATTGGCTCGGGGCGCGAGGTTGTCTTGGCCTCGCCAGACGTGAGCAACTCGCTCGACGTCAAGTCGCGCAGACTCAACTTGCTGACGCGAAGGCTGAATGCCTTCAGTCGACACGGCCGACGCGGTCGACCATACCGACGCAGTGCACATGGCGGAGAGCCGTTGCGCCTGCCAGTGGCTATTAGAAGCCACGAGAGACTCAGTAGTCTCGAGGTTAAGTGGGGGAGAGGCTCGGAAATACCTTTCCTCCCTGACTTTCCAAGAGGCAAGTAGCCGTCGTGCTGCCAGTGGCTATCACAAGCCACGAGAGACTCAATAGTCTCGAGTGTAAGTGGGGGAGAGGCTCGGAAATACCTTTCCTCCCTGGTCTTGAGGTAAGACCAAGTTCCTTACGGAACCAGGCGTCGATGTACATCGACTGCAGGCTGGAGGCGAACAGCCGGGCTAGAGCTGTGGTAGCTCTAGCCGAACAAGACATAGTGGCGAAGAAAGCCACTGGCGCAAGGTGCCTCGGAATCGCTGAGCGAATCAGCAGTGTTGGGGTTGCAAGCAACCACACACGAGGTGAAGCGCGGGCCTAGTGCAACAGCACTGGCTGTCTCTTGGTCATGAACGACCTGTCGAGTAGGGTGAACGGAACGTCTCACCCGCCGACAAAGCCGTTTGCGGTACGTGATGTACGCAACGCGCCGGGTATAATGGGCCGTGGAGCCATAACCCAAGTGTTGTGCACGAGTGCACACACAACTGACCAGGTGGTGTCGAGGCAACGCACGCAGTCGTAAACTGGTGCCGCGCCGAGCATGACACCGTGGTGATGGCTGCTTGCCTCACCATTGGTTGGTACCCGTGAGTACTCGGTGTCAATGCCAGACACCAATGCCGCAGTGGCATAGTGGTGAGATGTGCCCCACCACGGTCGAGTACCATCAAGGTACATGGTGTCTGTGACAGACACTGGTATAGGTGCAAAGGATATGCACCATACCACGACCCGATGCGCTCTGTCAACGCACGTACCGTGCATCGGCACTGGCTGCTGTTGAGCGGCCTGCCAGGAGTTCCACGTAATGAACTCGTCGTGCATGACACACATGACGCGCACGGAGCACTTATGGTAGCTGTGGTACTTGTCGTACACAGCGTACCTCGTGTACGGGCCCATGGACCTGTACACTGTGCTTGCACATGCGTCGTGCATGATGCGAGCACTGGCCATGAATCTGTTCAGGCGACAGCACAGCAGAAGCTGTTGCCGCCAAACATGGCAACCTTGTGGTGGGCGTACCGCACCAAAGGTTAGTACCGTACGGTACATGGTGTCGATGGGAGACACCTACACCACGGTTGTGTACCGTCACGGTACACGGTGTCGATGAAGGACACCTTCGCGCTGCTGGTATGGTGACCAAGACGCGAAGAGAGCGTGGCAGAAGCTCCGCCCGCAAGGATGGATCCTTGCTGGAGCCAAAGGCATGGCCCGAGGTGAGCTGAGAGCTCCCTCTAGTGCTGGGGAAGGTGTTGCCCTTCTCGGTGTCGTCCCTCGCGGGTGACACCATGCTCCGGACGCGTTCACGAGGACTGTCGTGTCCTCTGGTGCGAACTGTGGGCGAATGCCACACGTTCGGATGCTATTGCACCCTGTGCCAAAGCACTGTACGCGCGCTAGCGCAGGAGCTAAGGCAGCTCTGAGTGTAGGCTTTGCGGCCAACACAGTTGTGAACATAGGGATGCAAATCCCAGTGAGCTTTGGCAGCACAAGTCACCGTGGGTGTGACTGAGAGCCGCACCAGTCTCGTGGATGCTCAGTGTGAGAATTCACCTTTTGGTGTTTTAATTCTCTCACTTCTGATTGGAGAATCAGTTGTGATTGGAGAATCAGGTGATTCTCAGTTAAGTGCGGGAGGATGTAACGGGGTACAATCCAGTGTGCCCCATGTTACATAAAGAGTGACCCGTCACTCTTGTGGACACCTAGTACACGGTACCAGGTGCTCTCGGAGCCGGTCAGTGCATGACTACTTAGCTCCACTATAGGTAACCTCTAGTTTGTATGAGACCCAAGGTTTTCTTACTTATAAATACACCAGTCTTAAATCTACTCCTCTAAGAAAAACCGTTCCCATTGAGGCCGGGAACATGTGGACTTACGTTCACTCGGGTAGTTAATACCCATAAGCACTTCCTCTGTGCAAGGTGCTGTGTGACACCGTCACAGTGACCGTCCTCTGGGTAGGTAGATACTGGTGTTGCTGCTTAGTGACAATAGATAAATGGGCTAAGTGGGAGCAAAGGGAGAAGACCATTACGCTATAAAATTTGTGCTAACGAATGGCCTGTATCTGGCGGCTTTCTCCCTAAACTTACTAGAAGACGGCTGAAGTTTAGGTAGCACCGGCTCGAAGCTTACAGGCTAGTTGAAGTGATCATTTATATCTTCTGTGTTTGACGCATTCTCGTTGGAGCACTTCCTTTTAGTTTAGCTGATAAATCAAAGCCGTTCGCAGCAGCAGTTTGGCAATGACGGGGCCGTTCGTTCGGCAATAGCGGCATGTGAAAACGATCACGCTCGTGATCGTTTCATCACTTGAATCATCTCGTTACTTGTAAATAATAAATTCCGGACTGATTTTAGAGTTCTTTTATCATCGTTTTTAGCCAGTCAGTGCCGTCAGTATTTTGGTGCAAAATACGGACTAACAATTAATGCTTTTACTAGTTTCTGTTGTTCAACAACCCTTTTTTATTAGCTCCCCCCGTAAAACTGTAATAATATTTAGCAAATGCTCTGTAAAATTTGCATCCAATCTGGCCGAAGATGTGCTATATCTCCGTTAGAAACCGCTGGAAAGTACTGCGGGGTTGCCTTTCTGTAGTTTCGGACGTGACCAGTGGTCACTGACCATATACCACAGTGTGATGTTGAGTCGCAGTCGACAAGGGCAGCAAAATTTGTACGCGCATTTTCCACGCATTCTTCACTTATATTTATTTGCTCAGTCTGAATTTAGAGTCTTTTTCCGAAGGCAGGACCGTGTAGTTGTGTAACATTACGTTTCGCTTTTCGTTTTGAAGTGAGGTGCACTACAGTCTGATGTCTAATCAACGACTAAAAAAATGCCCCCCCCCCGGCGTCTCTAACTCCTTTTTGGTTCCGCAGACACACAGAGCGACCGGGAGCTTTGTCAGTAAGCCATGACGACCGAGTTTGGCTACCCGGAATACCCTGTTTGCGGAGATTGCAGCTGGATGATGACGACGAAGGCGGCAGTTATAGCGAAGACTTACTATAAAACAAGAGGAGTAAAAAAGCAATGTATTGTCGAAAATGAATTTATACAGTCGACGTGTTTGTGCAGTTTGTATCAAATCGCGGTCGAGACACGTTTCTAGGCTCTTACAATACTCCAGCACGAATGTCAATGATGTTTCCCGACTGCCAATTGGGCAGTCCTATCGTGCGGCCTGACGCCGAACGCGACAATACGCACAGGTTAGCCACAAGCACTTGCTCAAAGCTGAACACTGCACACGCATTGTCAACCCAGCACGCCTCGCAGCACGATAGCCACGTCTGCGAATCTCCGATACCTGCCGTCGCGGAAATGATATCGAGGTTGATGTAGCGCACTTGCAGCTCCACGGAAATAGCGTTTGTGGCTTGTCTAGAACACGGCGAGCTCGTTGGCACGTCGGTCGGCGCATCAGTCGGAGCATCCGTCGGTCCATTGGTAGGTCCATCCGTCGCAGGGCCCGTGGTCACTTCACCGGTAGGTGCATCAGTAGGAGCATTCGTCGGTCCATTGGTAGGTCCTTCCGTCGCAGGCCCCGTGGTCACTTCACCGGTAGGTCCATCAGTGGCAGGCTCTGTGGTTACTTCACCGAGAGATCCGTCAGTGGAAGGTTCTGTGGCCACTTCACCGTGAGCACAATCAGTGGAAGGTCCCGTGTCCGCTTCAACTGTAAACTCATTCGTTGTCGGCCTCAGTCGTGACCTCGTCTGTTGTTGATTCCGTCGTTAGTGTGGATAGAACCTTACTTCGGAAGCATACGTAATTGAAAGATTTTACCGATTTCATGCTCTGTCGTCTCCTCAGTGGGCCATCCGTGCTCGATCCATAAGCGGTCTGTTCAGCGGGTGCTTCAGTCTCTTCACAAGGTTCATCAGCTCCAGGCTCCAGTGTGCCGGGGGTACCCTCTTCCTCACCAGCAGTGTCATAATCCCCAGTCTGGTAATCAGCCGTTGTCTCAGTCGTGTAGTGTCCAGTAGTCTCACCACCCTCCGTGCTGGTCCCGTAGCCACCACCCGTGGTGTAGTGTCCAGTAGTCTCACCGCCCTCAGTGGTCGTGCCGTAGCCACCATCAGTAGTGTAGTGTTCGGTAGTCTCGCCGCCGTCCGTGGTCGTGCCGTAGCCACCACCCGTGGTGTAGTGTCCGGCAGTCTCACCGCCCTCAGTGGTCGTGCCGTAGCCACCATCAGTAGTGTAGTGTTCGGTAGTCTCGCCGCCCTCCGTGGTCGTGCCGTAGCCACCACCCGTGGTGTAGTGTCCGGCAGTCTCACCGCCCTCCGTGGTCGTGCCGTAGCCACCATTAGTAGTGTAGTGTTCGGTAGTCTCGCCGCCGTCCGTGGTCGTGCCGTAGCCACCACCCGTGGTGTAGATGTCCGGCAGTCTCACCGCCCTCAGTGGTCGTGCCGTAGCCACCATCAGTGGTGTATTGCCCAGTAGTCTCAGTGCTCGCTCCATAGCCACTCTCAGTCGTGTATCCACCAGTCGTTGTGGCACCCTCAGTAGCCGTACCAGTGGTGTAGTCTCCAGTCGTAGTCCCCGTTGTCGTGTCGTAGTGAGTGGTAGTGGGTGGTGCCCGTCGATCCGTAGTAGCCGCCACTCTCAGTCTTGCCACCCGTTTGCTGAGTCGTTGTTTTCGTTGCAACGTCACAGTTGATACCGAGTGGTGTATTGAGGTTCGTGTCGTAGTGGACACCCGCCCCTTCATCTCCAACTTGAACGCCGTTCTTGTACCAGCCTGATCCTGAGCCATCGTATGCCGTGATGGTCTCCGCTTCAGCAGCAGAATTGTAGCCCGTCTCCGGGAATGCACAGCCCCACACATCATCGTGGACGAGGACGCACTCAGCATCTACGGGAGCAACGCACACAGCACCATTGTAGGACAGTAGATACGGCTGGCAGTCGGCAACGGCGACGTCACCAGCATGGGGGCAGGCGGTTCCCACAGGCTCGGCTCCGACACCAGAGCAAGACAAACCGTGAGACTCCGGAATCGAGTAGGTGGCGTCGTGTTGCACACCAATCGGGACGTCGGCGGACGCAAGACCAGTCGCAAGGATGCTGGCTAAAGCCACAACTGTGGCTGGTTTTCTCGACGCCATTGTCTAATCACTGGAAAAACCGGTGTTGGTGTTGATGTTGTTGCCAACGAGGAAATTGAGAAATGAGCTTTTGAACGGTATGAGTAGCGAAAGGGGATACGAGGAGAGCGGAAGGGGACACGAGGAGAGCAACAGGGTGGGGGGCTTAGGTGCTAAGTTATATCAGCTCGAGACGCAATGTATTCGACTTTGATGAAAACCACGGGCAGCCGTCACCAGAAGGCCTTTCCTGTAACCGATGAGAACGGCAGCGCACCTGGCGACTTGGCGAAGTGCAAGCCTGTCAGGTCTTATATGAAACCGCTGTAAATTCGCTTACGTCTCTAACGAGAGCGGTGGCTGATACAATGCCTTTCTTCGGTCACTGACTTTAGACATCTAGCCTCGGCGACGTGCATTGAAAAGCGACGAGCTAATTGTTTCTTGTCTATTACCCGGGAAAAGATGAACGTCGATAGTGTTTGTCTTCGGTACGAATAGGAGTGAACCGCAGTGCATTTAATCGGGGATTTGGTCATAACGTCTGCTGTCACGGAGTAAAACTCTTTATTCCAGTCAACATGTGAGCGCTGGATGGCTACACGCCGTGTCGGCCCAGAACGATTCTGGCGACCTGACATTTAAGCTTATGCACAGCAGTGTCTGAAAAAAATAACTTCCAAGAGTGGCACCCTCTTCATACTCACTTAACACCTGGAGTCCATATTCTGGACAGAAAGATACACTACATGTATTTATAATTGAGCGTGTTCACCAGCACCATGCATGAGATTTTGTAATCTACCGCGAGTAAGGTTGCACTCGTTGCTCCGACACTCTCACCGTTCGAGGAAGCTACACCCCCGAGACGTGGCAGACGAGTTTGAATGCCCTACAATTGTAGTCTCGCATCATCCCCAACGTAAGTTCGTGCAGATGACTGAAAATGACACGTTTAGAGCATCACGTGGTCTCAAAATTGTCCGAAAGTGCACTGGTATCCCGATACTGGAATTATGTGGTAACGGCAGACTTCCCACTGACAGATTTTTAAGATCTTGCATGCATCGCGGCTTATTTACAACCTCGAAGTAGCTCAGAAGGGTTAATGATAACGTATTTGCCAGAGGACACATTTTATGGGTGGATCCGGCGAAGTTGTGTAGGATTCACTCCACTTTTCCTACAATATCCTACAAAGTCGTGTGTCACACGGAGAAGCTCTAAATTTACAACTGTGTGCAGGGCAGTTGCTTCAACTTTGGTTTTACAGTGATGTGCGTTAGTAAGGAGCCTCTGACATCACGGTTTTAGAGAATAGAGGGCTTTTACATACTTCAAAGTGCCAGAAAAAGGTTCTTATTAATTTGTTCTGTACAAATTGTACTTCACATGCGTTCCTTATCGACGCACATTACTGTATACAATTACTTGCAGTCGTGTATCCCGTTCGATGCTTTATTCTAGCAGAATATACGAGATCATACTGTGCTAAGTCGCACTGGTAGCTCATCTGTCTGTTCGGCAACATTCACACGGATTAAATTACTTCGACTAGTCGTAATTTACAGTGATGTTACGCTTGGCAACATTCACCTGGGTGGCATCAGTATAGATAGATACGATTCATACAGCTTAAGAAACTAAGGTGATAAAAACATTTTTTATCAGGGTTTTTCATGTTGAGACAATAAGAAGATGCCGCATCGGTACAAAGGATATCAGGCATACATCACTAAACTTCTTGAATAAAGTCGACATAATCTAGGTCTTCTGCATTGTTTAACATGAGGACGATCACACAGACCGCATGACAAAGAAGAGTTGAGGCCGATCCTGCTCGAATACGCCCCTTTTGATTTCCATTGTACGCCAGAACTCAAACCAGCGTTTTCAGCTAAAGGCTGAAAAAATAAATAACTTTTCTTCAGCACTTGATACACCTATTATATTTGATCTACACTGGATCGTACCCAATAAAACGGGGTTTCTCCTCTGAGCCTGCATAACGTGTCATTTCAGCTGGTATCAGAAGCAACAACTTAGCTTTCGTTTGAGCAATTTTAATAAGCTTTTGCAACTTCTCCTAATTTATTCCTTTCGGTTGTCTCGGTTACTTCAGATAATATCTTATACACAGTGCGTTTTCAATGACACAAGTGATCTACAGCACTGCGGGATAAAACTTCAATACACAAAATACTTCAATCAATATTTCAAAAATATTGTAATAAGGAGGAAAATTTCGATATTGAATGAGGACGGAAACTATAGACAGCCAATATAACATTGTTTTTAAGCACTGGCTGTGCATCACTGCTACAAGATTAGACCTGGTGGGCAGCCTATTACATAAGCTCAGGCTCTCAGTAAAATTCATTAACTATTTTACTATGAAAATTATTAGCAACATAATAGGAGCAACATAAAGCTGCGGCAACATTGTCAATTAAATTGTGCAAAAGACTTTAATGCATTCTATTTAGTTGCCTACAGGGACAGCTAGTTGTTGAATGCTCACATCAAGGTTTGTATAAGCAGCGTGAAAAATGTTTGTGAAAATACGTCATGTGTCCGTTCTTGAGCTCCTGTTTCAGTCGACACGGCCCATGTTGCCTGCCTGCCAGTGCTGTTGATTCTCCTCCCTGCCCGTAGTTGATGCGGTCAGTTGGCACAAAGAATCCGACCCCATTTGCAGAAAGCTGAAGGCTCTACAGCTCAGATCGTTGTAGCATGCACGACAGCACGAATGCCAGGACTGCATAATCCGGGGACCTGGGGTTGAGCTGTAGATGCCACCGTTACTGTAGCGCACTTTGTTCTCCACACCAATACCATTGATGCCTTGATTGTCGCAGGGAGTGGAGACCTCTTCCGGTCGGCGCGTACGTGGTCTCTTCGGTCGGCGCGTACGTATGGGTCGGCGGTCGGGGCGTAAGTAGTTTCCTCGGTCGGGTCGTACGTCGTCTCTTCGGTCGGCTCATACGGGGTCTCTTCGGTTGGTGCATACGTGGTCTCCTCCGTCGGCGCGTACGTGGTCTCTTCGGTCGGCGCGTACGTTGTTTCCTCGGTGGGGGCGTAAGTAGGTTCCTCGGTCGGGGGGTAAGTAGTTTCCTTGGGCGGGGGCGTAGGGGGTCTCTTTCGGTTGGAGCATACGGGGTCTCTTCCGTTGGGGCATACCTAGTCTCCTCCGTCGGGGAGTAGCGGGGGTCTTCGGTGGGGGGGGGAGTTTTTTTCATTGGTGGGGGGGAAATGGTTTTGTTTAGTG